CGTTACTAAAACTACAATTTTTTACTCAAGGTGACTAAGTACGAAGTTCTTGATGTCCACAAGAGCTTCCTGACACACTAATAGTTCGGTGGCTGTGTTGATGGGTGGTAACAATGTATTTCCACCGCAAAAACAATGATATTTTGGCAAGCCCAAATTTCAACCGTGAATCAATCTCGTGGTTAAAAATGGAAGTATGCAAATCAGATGACAGGGGAAGGACGCCCCCTACGGGAGCTATCCACTGTTATTTCGATTTTATTTAACCAGTATTATATGATAATTGGCAATTATCCCATTTGTTTATGAAATTAAAATTTCATTAACCAAAGGGGTTAGTATGCAATACTCTGTAATAAACATGGCCCCTAGTTGGCCATAAGAACACAACACAAAATGAAGTGTATTAGTAAACCACAAGAAGTGATGTCATTAACATCAATTTGAATGAAATGACCATGTATGCCTGAGAAATGGTTGACAACATGTTGAAATGTATCAAGGTTTATTGAAATCAATCAAGTTTTTTTTTAAGAGATACAAGTGACAATTCACTAACTATTGAGCAAGTTGGGTAATTAATATGCAAGATTTTCCACTCTAAACTAATCACGTCCTTAACCTGGGGACTTACCTGTTTGGATCTCCTCATTTTTTTTTAACCTGGGAGATACTTTGGTTGGCGGAGACTCTTTTCCTTTTTTATTTGAATTTATCGATGCAGAAATATTACCAGTAGTAATGTCTTTGTGGTCATCATCAGGGACTGGTCTGTACCTGTGATACAACAGATAAATATTACGCCATGAAGCAAAGAATCTCAAGAGACTATTTCAAGGTACTAGTGCACTGTTTCCATAGAAATAGAACCACATTATAGACTGCTTCCCTTACTACAAACTGATTTATTGGGGGCTGCATCTCATCACATGTATATTTGTGTGTGCTGTTTGACACATGGCAATATTGCATTTGTATATGCACCAATGATATTAACATAAAGATGACAACTCACCATATCGTGTGTGTTCGTTTCCAAATACTGGCTCTTCCAAGAGGGTTATTTTCATCGTCTGTATCTCTATCTTCATCTGTCTGTATTCCATATTGTTTGATAGCTTGATAAACTGTCCAGTTATATGGTAATATTCTATCGCCTATTAGGAACTGTAATCGATGTCGTACATTCAGACCAGTACCTGAGAATGCCGCTGCTAAACTCTCATCAATATCATCATCAGAAGCATCATCATCACTGTTATCTTCATCATCATCTTGTTGCTGTAATAGTACACATTCGTAAATGACAGCCATGATATTTAAACACATAGTTGCCCAATACAATGAGCATTTTGGGAAATCTCAGATGCTAGTAGAATAACAAATAGTATGAATCACATAGTTTCTAATTCTGAAGCAAGACCAACTATACAAATACAACAAGACCAATAAAGCTTGACAACTACTTTGTGAAATTCACTATTACCACACTTTCCTTTCATTTCACCATAGGTAAGGCAATTAAAATAGGGGTGATACAAAATAGCAACATGTCTGAATGACTGACAAAACAAATACTGTTGACTGAAAAGGATGAACGCGTAGACTGAACATCTGCTGAAAAAATTGAATAATTTGATTTTGAAATTGAATATCTTTTTTATAGTTCAATGTCGAAATGCCGAGCTTTCAAATTGGAATATAATTTTGAGATACACTTACTTCAGCGAAAGTGACTATCATCAAATGTGTATAGCACATTATTTAACATGTTAATACTCAAAAAATACTTGTCAGATCCTATGTTATGTTTGATTTCTCGTAGTGAACACAAAATGGTCTAATATTTAAATTGGTGAGCAAACAAGTCATTGTCAATAACACGTCCCCGTTCCGTTCATATTTGAGTGACATATACATTCAAAGCAGATCATGACCGAAATGCACCTGCATATGTACAACACATTGTGCTAAATCTGAACAAAATCCATCCATGCATGACTGAGATCCGGTTCTGGAATTGTGAAAATACGTGATTTTGATGCATTTTCGGCCTTAAAATGGCCATCATTCCGCTATTGTTAAGCAGATCATGAAACAAATGCACATATCTATTTGTGACATGATGTACTATGTGTGTGTGAAGTTTGAACTTGATCAATCCAGACATGTCTTGGATACGGATCCAGAACTGAATTCTTTAACAAAATGGCCGCCAGTCGGCCATTTCGAACTTGATCCGAAAAAAAAAGACGTGCATCAAGGTCCT